TCCACTGAGTGCCATTTGAGGTGAATTTGTTTCCATCTGCTGCGTTAGTGATAACGTGCAGGCGTTCGTGTGCACATACAGTAACTGTGCTTATGTGTGTGTTATACATACTTGGCTATTTCTCCCATCAGTTGTCCAGACGGTCCCCAAGGGTCATCATTGGTGGCCTCTCTCACCTTGGACTCGATCTCTGAGTAGTTCATCACCACGTTGGTGCTGTTGACACAAACATATATTTTCTTCATATATCAGTAGTACCATTAATATTTCAAACATGTAAAAGGTGAAACCCTGTGGCTTTCCTTTCTTGTCTTTCTGTCCACTTAATGTGAACACACTACTTATTATTGTCAGCTTTTCAATTGTTCAGCCTTGCTGTTTATCATCTATAGTCTATACCGATTCCCTTCACACTCCATTTGTCACGTTTCCAGAGGTCAAGCAGAAGTAAAAATAAACACATAAGACATATTTACACAGTAGAACACAAAAATGCACACAAATACAGGGAAACTCTTCAATGATAAATGATCTCTTGAGTATCATCATATCTCCTGTAACTTCTACACACATACACTCACTATATATTGAAAAACAGAGAATAGCTTAGAAAATAAATGTTTCTCTGATGACAGGAAGAATCTCAGCTCTGAAGCGAGGGAGACACAGCCACACCACGCCATAAGCAACGTCTGCTTCCTTTCCTCTATGTTTTTGTGGGCTCACCTGCTACCGTGTTTGCTTTTCCTGTGTCTGTGTGTGTGTGTGTGTGTGTGTGTGTGTGTGTGTGTGTGTGTGTGTGTGCATCTGTGTTTGTTTTGCATCTCTTGATGGGCATGACTTTATCTGCAGAGTCCTGGCAAAAAACACAGCCAAAGCGCTACACATTGAAACACACCTCTCCCACGACTCTATTTTATCTACCTCTCCTCTAGCCTGTCATTCCTCTTCTTCCTTCTGGCCTTTTTTCATTTTTCTGTCTCCTTCACTGCAGTTTTTTTTCTGTTTCATCTCCTACTCCCCACTTTTCCCAATCTTCAGCCCTCTTGTTACTTCTTTATTCACATGTAGCTGCTTTCCTTTCCTACTTTTTCTCTCTGTGTCTTTCTCCTTTGGGCTCTGTCGTCCTCCTAGATAAAGGATAAGAGATGCCTTAGACTCCATTATTGTCCACAGATAAGACAGACAGATAGACAGCGAAGGCTACATAATAGCATGACTCTTAATCTGCTGAAGCAAGGCTGCCACTGCCAGCTCTGTTGAGGCAGATCAATAATAGAGTGTATTCATCATGACCAGCCACGCACAACCAACAGCTGATTCGGGCTGGTTTCTATTACTCCATCTACAGCTCTGTTGCTACTTCTTCATATTCCCTCTTCTTATTTCTTTTCTTTCTTTGGTCTTTACACTCATCTTTCCATTATGCAACTTTCTTGTTTCTAGCTTCTTACTACATTTGTGATATGATTGATCATTTAAAAGGCGGACCCACCCGGAGTATGGTGTGTCTCTAACTGTGACAAACAGCAGCGTGAAAAATGACACTGATTTTCATGTGAGCATTTTTACTGTGACGTTTGTTCTGACGATGCTTTTGTGCATAGGATTAAAAATACAAATGTGGGCAGAAACAATGTGTTGTGATGGCATTAAGAACAAGACTTAGGGACCACTTCTTCTTGAAATCTTTGTTGGCCATGTACACTCAGTTGCCAGTTTATCAGGTACACTTAGCTAAAATAAATGCAGTCTAATACAGCTCCTCTCTAAAACATTCAGAAAAAAAACAGACCTCAGCGCTCAGAAGTTCAGACAAGGGATGATGAAGGTGCTCTTTGGTAGGGAACACAAAAGTTCCAAAAGAAGGAAGATCCAAGGCATTCTTCTAACAAAAAGTTTAAAAGACTTTATTTATTTGGTTATTTCACAGTGAAATTCTTAAAAATTGTGTTACCGTTACACCCTGAAAAGGTCTGACTCATTTTTAACATATATGGCCCATGTTTTTTTTTTTTAATTTTCACTATGAAATAAGCATTTGAATAAAGGCTTATTAATGTTTCATCAAAAAAGTCCCTTGGATCTTTCTTCTTTTTTAAACTTTAAAACCTGAACATTATAGAAACCTTCATTGAGGGAGGATTTACTGCATGAGTGTTGGATTAGACTATATTCATTTTAACTAGGTGCACCAAATAAACTAGCAACTGAGTGTATATCATTTAAAATGTCTACAGGAGAAAATGTGTGTTACCTTTCATCAATATCCATAAAAAAAAAAAAACAAAGATGTTTTTGGTGTGGCACAAGCATACCAAACTACACCCGCCTGTCACTATGCAGTTATTTTCCATAACATTTTTTTCAGATTTTTTCCATTACGCTTTTTTTCAAGGTTTCAGTGTTGCTCAGATACAATATGTACACTGCTGCATGGGTGCTAATACAGCACCCACACAGCACATATCTGTTTGCATTTAACCTTTTCGCAGGATTAGCATCAAAAAGCAAGTGCATGTTATCAACGCACAGGGAACTGAAATGTCCCAACTTTTAATTACCAACCTTGCGTACAAAAAAAATTTCAGTTTTTGTTGACATTGTTTTAGAAAGGTGTTGATCCAATGGTTTGATCATTTGCAGGTTGTAGTTTGTGGTGCTGTTGAACTGTATTTTATTATGTAGAGAGGTATTTGTGTTATTTACCCTACCCTCACTGACCTTAATGGGTTCGACAAAATAATTGAAATACCTGTTAGTATAACACAATACAATTCCACAGCATCACACTTCATCCTCCAAAGTAATCACACAGTTGAATCAACACCCTCTGAAACTATTTCAACAAAAACTACCTTAATGATGGTACGATTTATTATAGAGCTATTGTATTGGTCTATAGACTACTTTCAACAATGACACAAAGACACATGTCACAAAGAAGCATCCTCGCTCAGACAAACAACACAATGTAGTAGGCTGCAGCACCAGGATTAGCTACTAGAGTATGATGTGTTCCGTGGCTAACAAGCTTTGTTGTCTATCTGTCCGGGACCATGGGGGCATGGGCCTTGTTAGACCGGTGTAGCTACACTGTGAGACATGGTTGGTAGCTAATTGGCAGGACACATGCAATTATTTAGTTCACGAAATTTACAATCATTAATGCTTCGCTTTCTTGTCAGGATGTAATGTTAGATGAAAGAATAGTGGAGGCAGCGGCATCACCAGGGTGGGACAGGGCGTGATCCTGCAGCAGCACTTACAGGAACAGTAACACCGCCGACCTGGGCTTAGCAACGCTAGCGGAATTAGCTAACTGGATAGCTTTCGTTCTGAATCGCAAACAACTTCATTTCCCAGTTTATATCGTATTATTCCTGTCCAATGTGAGCCAGTGCTTAAAAATGCCCAACAGAACATACCACTGCAAAACACACAGTTCCATTTATACTACAAGGTTGAAGATTGGCAGCTAGCCAGCTAGTCAAAGCTAACAGCTGAGGGCTAGGGCCGTGACGTCACGGCCCGTATCCTCTCCTGTCGGCGCTCAATGTTGCTGATGCTGCTCGGTTACAGCCAGCCGGTTAGCTTAGCAGCCGCTGAACCAGTGCAGCACAGCTCCACCTGCTCCACGGTACTCACGCTTTGTCCACCAGCTCTCTGACTTTCCACATATTCAGCATCTCCGCACGGAACTGCGGGCTCGCCGCCTCGATACTGCGTCGCCCCCGTGTCTCTACACCCCACAAGACAGAGGTGGTATCCGGTTACCGACGACAATCCCCCCCAAGCTCCTTGATGAGCTCCAGTAGTTAAGCGGCTGCTGCGGTTAACGGACCGGCCCCAGTTGCTACGGAAACGTGGATCTCTGTCTACGTCACTGAAACGTCGATACGTGCCCTCGCTCGCGGGACTGAATCATATGTTTTTACGGAACAACAAAATGACGCAGAACAACGAGACAATACTATGAAGTCTGTCTTGGCTTTGCAACAAGACGCCCCAGGAGCTGGCAGTGTCTTGCTCAAGGACACTTAGGTCATCAGTACTTTTCAGTAAAGCAGGACCATGGATGGATTACCAAGGATTCAGAGTCTGACTTCACTCTGTATTGTACTGTACTGTACTGTATTGTGGCACTCTCCATTATATGAAAACAGCTTTCACACAAATTAGCAAATGAAAGATTCATTAACATTTTGTTGGCTTATGTTTGTGTAAGGCTTCATATACTTCATATCATTTGTCGTAATGCATTGCTGTCCACATACTGTTCAAATCTGAATGAAAAAAAAAACCCACACATTTCAGGGGATATTTTTTTGTTTACAGCATGGTTAGCCTACAGGTTAGCCTACATGTATTCAAACAGAAAGTTGTGGTACATATAAAAATCATAACAACCTTTTAGGTTAAAACATGAACCAATCCATAGATAGATATTAGTACTGTTCCCAAGTAGGATAATTAGTTTTCAGTGTGTGCATTATACATGCCTCTAGCACATAGATGCAGCCCTACAGAAAAGTGACAACTCTAGAGATGAGGTGAGATTTTCTTAGCAGCAACTTTTTTATTAATGTTACATTATTTAGGCCATCTTTTTTTTTTATATTTTCATCTTTTGTCTAAAGCTTCAACAAAAAACAAAAAAAAACTGAAAATGATCATTAATTTTTACCTTAATACAATATGAAATGTTTCCAGAGTCTGACAGTTTTACTGCAGCTCATACCATTCGCAAATCAGAGAAATACCACTCTCTAGTGGTAAAGGTTTAGTACTGCATCAAAGTGTTTGTAGAGGAAATATGTAGAGATTTCAAAAGTCTCCACTTTTATTCCAGATTATGGTTGGTACACAATCTAAATGATTTCATATTTCTTATTTGAATAAAACACCCACACTGAAATGGATAGGACTGGATTGTGTAACTGAATGACTGGTGAACAAAATACATAACCTACATTATAAGGTGACATTGAGGTCTTTTTATTCATGTTCAACAATATACAACAATTAAAAATCCCCAATTCAAAATAAACAACTTTCAAATTCCTGAATGAATGGTCAACACCAAAATAATTTATTAAGAAAATAAACATACGTCTTTTAAAAATATACAGTCATTATGCTTCATGGACACTGACTGAAGTCTCAGTAAGTGAAAGATTTGTGTAGAGACACATTCACATTTGTGGTGAAGTCATAACAACTTACAAACATGTTGAAATAATTTCAGGTACAAGGTGTGAGGATGCGTCAAAATGCAGTGTAATACTGTGTTCATCGTGGAGGACACGTTGGAGAGTGAGAAGCAGCAAACCTCAGGTAGTCCACATATGGTGCAAGAGCGGAGATTTACACCCCAAACCACTTGATGAATCCGTATTTTAAACACTCCACCGTGTACAGACACCGTAGTCAAGTTTTACAAACAATTCAAAAATACACATGGGACACTTTAAAATTGTTCCTGTGAGGTGTAATTACTGCTGAGCTGGTCTGTGTTTAAAGTGCATCCATATCGTGGAACAGCGAAGCCGGGCTTACAGCATTTCCCTCTTTCGCTTAACTGGGGTGTGGAGTTTCTGCTGTTTTCAGACTCTGAGGAAAGAGAAGGTGCAATGTTCACTGATGACTGGAAATATCTATAGGATTTATGATCACGAATGTCAGCATGTCAACATGTCAGCGTTGCAACCTCCAACTGCAGTGCTTTGTTTCATCTTGACAATTATAAAAGGTAAGATACAGTCCAAACTCTAAGGATTTGGACAGTTAGATGGACAGTACTTTTTGTACCTCGGGCTCCATGCTCCAGCACATTCACATGAAAGTGTGAAATCTCAGGTTTAATTTGAATAGATTTACACCAATTTAGATAGAGTATACTCCAAAAATTTAGGAGTTTGTTAATCTTCATTAATCAAGAAAAATGGCAGCTTCTCAGATGTGATGATTTTCTGTTTTTCAGTTTAAATCTACTTTCTCCTTTTTAAGATTTTTCCAACCTCACCTGTGAGTAGCTGAACGGGGACGCCATGGGCTCGGGTCTGGTGTAGTTGGGGGGGTTGGCGTGAGGGTCGTAGCCCAGACGAGCCAGCATGGGGGCGATTTCAGCCATGTCGCTCATCACGTCGGAGGGAATGTGCCCCACCCACTTGGAGAGGGCGTCTGTGTTCACCGGCTTCATCACCTGGTCTGTCGAACGCTCAACCCTGCACACAGAGGCAAACACATGTTCAGTTTATGTGTGTTCCACCATAATACTAAAAGCTTAATATGGAACAGCTCCAAAACAAAACTTAAATTTGCCACTGACGAGTGATAAAGCAGTGGAGGATTTGAAACGCTTAAATTAAGACAAATCAAACAATGGAATAAATTGAAACACAATACTGTGTCATAATTAAATGAAACACGTGTTAATCAAAATCAATTAAAACATTAAAAACAATTCCTTTAGCTGTTAAAGACAACGAGATAAAAAAAACTGTCCTTTTAACATATGTTTTTCATTTAATCATGAAACAGACAATAGGCATTTTAAATCTTCCATACTTTCAACCTGTCCATCTCAAATAAATGAATGTATGTGTAAGTGTGTACACACATGAATCATTATCACAACATGCCAAGTTTTGTGTTATTTCACATTTCTGCGGAGGCAAAAATATATTTGTGACTAATATTGCGCCAGTTCTTGCATAACTAATCAACATAAGGGCGCTAATTCTCTCAGAATGTGGCCTCATTCTTTCAAATACACGCCAGGTTTGGGTGTAGCAGAAGGGACTAAATCCCCTGAGCTGCTGGAGGTGCTCTGCCTGAATCACGAACAAATAAGTGGGGCAACGCAAATTAAATATCTACTGAAGGAAGTCCGTAAGCTTTACTTGACCCTGAAAGGTTTGTTTGCTTCAGATGAAAACTCAAATCTGTCTCACATTTAAATTTTAACACACTAATAAAAGTCTTTTTTGTGTTAGTGGTTTTTAAAGTCTTAAAAAAATATGGACTTGTTCTTGGTATGATCTTTAGACTGCTTGAGGTTAACTGGCCAGTGTACGTGGTATGACACAAAGCTACATTTAGGATATTTCCGGTTGGTGTAAATACCTGATTCAGGTTACAGTATATTTTAATGGCACAAAAATCTTCAGCCTTTTAAAAGATCAATGGTAAACATCAGGTTTCAGTGTGAGACCCTGAGAAATAAAGAGCTTCTCTTTACCCGTGTCGCACTGCAGCCAATAATCATATATGGAGCGATCCAATTCAGAAGAGACTAGAGCTCAAATATTTGGTCCATTAATCAATTAATCAATCCACAGAAATATAATCAGCAACGATTCTGGCTATCATATAATCGTTTAAGTCTTTTTCTTAATCAAAAATGCAACAAATATCCACTTTTCTTTGTCTTCTATGAATGTAAACTCCCTATCTTCTGTATCAGTCAAGCTATTTGAATATTTCACCTTAAACTAGAGGAAATCGTGAGCCTGAATTTTTTCACCAAATTCTCACATTTTACATACCAAACAATTATTGATTAATCATGAAACAGATAAAATAGAAATCATTGTTATTTGTAACTTTAGAAGAGATTCACCGTCTTTAACAGTCGCCTCAAAGACAAGAAGGCAGTGCAGCCATATGACATGTTGTGTTTTGAGTATTTAGTTGTGACTCTGTGTATATGGCTAAACAAACGTTCATGCCTGTTGTCTGAGGGTTCGTCAAGGACACCACACTTGATTCATCAAACATTTTCACACCGGTCTGCACCTTGCTGTGTTGTCAACTTTAGAAATTGTTCTCGTCAAATGTCAATCTAGGAAAATCATAACAAAATAAGACCTAGACTACAGTGATACAAAACTACACAAGTATCCAAGGGTAGAGCTGTACATCTCTACACGCCACTTAGTAAGCCGGTGTTTGTTTCCCCTGACCCTGCACCCTGGCCCCTGCTGAGGACAGGTCGATCAATGGAGTTTTCAATTACCTGTGTCGCCTCTCTTTCACCCAATTACAGTAGTCATGTAACAGAAGAATTAAAACATGAAGAAAATACTGGCCAAAACATGCGTAATTCACTGATTAAGCAACTGTTTAAAACTAGATCTACATTACCACTTAAGAATTCTGTTAGATAAGATAAGTATATAAATTTTACAATAATTGAGCAGCAGCACAGGCGTAAGCAAAGCCTGGTTATTCTGATCAACAGCTCATGAACGGGTTGAGGTGACTGACAGAGAGCGTGAGAAAGAGATGTGTGAGATGTGAGAATCACAGCTGCCCTTTTTTTTTTTTTAAGCAGCCTGAAAAACATGACACCTTTTATCCTGAAATATACCTGCTCCTCAAAACCACCAGGACGAGTACTTATGGTGAGAATAAAAGCTGTGCAATTCTGTATCATTTATATTCAATATCTAAATATTCTGCCTATTTTGGCTCATGAAACCTTTATCAGGAAAACAATTTGGTATCAACAGCATGAATCCATGGAACCATCCTGCCTTGTGTCAGTCGGGTCGGGGCGGGTGTTGGTGGTGTAATGGTGTGGGGAAAGTTTTCTTGTCACACTTTGGGCCCCTTAATACCAATCAATCATCGTTTGAATGCCACAGACTATCTGAGTATTGTTGCTGACCACGTGCACCCGTTTATCAGAGCGATGAGGAAACTGTGACCCCCTCAAATTAATACAGGAAAATAATAATAAAATAAATAATAAATGCCATATTTCCATCATGTTTTTACACTGTTCTCCACTGCTTCAGGTTTGACTGGTTCTCCTCTAATTACATCATCTCCTGTGACCTCTTCATCTGCAAGAGATTAATGACACCCGACTGGAGAATTAGCGCCACCAGCTATTTTATCTTGATGTACTCAACTTGTAATATTTGCTTAACAGTGGTGGATGGAAAACAGCATTAATTTGCATTTTCTTTGCTGATTTCTGTGAATTTGTGCTACTTTTGGATGGAAACCTGACTAGTTTAACACATGACTGCTTTCATTTCTCACCAGAAGAAAATGCAAAACTTTCAAGGCCTCTAGAACTGAACTGAAGGAAAAATGATATGAATATATGCATTCAACATTATTACAGGCCTGATTAAGTAAAACATAATTTCAGACATTTGAAGACTTTCTCAGGACTTGAAGATATCCTGGAAGCCATACTATAATTTTCAAAGATTCAAACTTAACCCTTGTGGGTATCTAATCATGCAGGTAGTTTCAGTTTATAGTGCTGAGGTTTTGAGATATCTGCCTCTGAAACTTTTTCTGGGTGCAGCCTCAGAAATTAACTTTGTATTGTGTCAACACGTTGCAGAGGTCGATATCTGAAAACCTCAGCATGTGGAACTGAAACCATCTACATGGTTAGACGCCACTAGAGATAAGAGGCAGAACTTGGTGTGCAAACATATGTCAAATACTCACTTGGACAGAGACACGCCACCAGCCTTTCCTATCAGCTCTTCATGGTGCAGCACTGACGGATCCCATTGCAGGTCTAGGAAGTGAAGCAACTTCCTCATTTCCTCCTCTGAGCGGAGGACAAGCTGCTCGTAGCTTACAGGCATGCATCTGTCCTTCCCGACCGCCTGGCACTGGCTGAACATGGTCTCCACCGCACCGCTCCACTTTGTCAGACAGTCCCTGTAGCTGTTCAGGTCGAAGCCAGAGATGGTCACCTGTGAATGAAGGGATAAGATAAACACAGCAGAGCTGTCACGACAGACAGTCAACTTAGAAATGGAAAATTAATTTAGTCGCAACGTGCCACCATAACAAACTTGTCAAGTGACTGTTTGGAAAGATAACCCCGTGAGGAAGAAAAGAAAACCAGCATACCTTTCGTGATATCATGGAGTGGACGGCCGCCCGTCCGTCTCGTAGCATGAGCACAAATTTGGCTTTAGGGAAGATGCGCGCCAGGTATGAGAGAGACTTCAGGGCGAACGGGTCCTTGTTGCAAAGGCGAGGTGCAGGCTCCCCGTGGCCGACTATCACCTGGAACACATATGTAAAAACTGAATTCATAAAATCTGAGAAGACTTTTCACATTTCTATTGAGATGCCAAATATACAGTGGCATGAAAACATATATGAAGCCCTTGGAATCACCTGATTGTGCTTAAGCTAATCACACACACACACACACACATTATAATGTTTTGTGTCTTTATTGAACACAGCCATTAAACATTCACAGTGCTGGTGGAAAAAGTAAGTGAAACCTTGGATTTAATAACTGGTCGAACCTCCTTTAGCAGTTATTGTCCTGCTGCATCACGCAGCTTCTACTGAGCTTCAGCAGGTGGACAGCCACCCCGACATTATCCTGTTAGAAACCTTGATAAGCTTGGGAATTCATTTTCCCTTTCGATGATGTTGAGCTGTCCGGGCCCAGAGGCAGCAAAGCCCCAAATCATGATGCTACCTCCACCCTGCTTCACCTTTGGGATGATGTTTTCATCATGGTAAGCAGCTTTCTCCATGCAACCATTCAACATGATTTGTATGTGTATGGTAGACTCATGAACAGAGATGTGAAGCAGCTCCAATGATCATTTCATTCCTTTAGCTGTTACTCTTATCTATATTTTTACCTAACTGATCATTCTGCGTTGTGCTTTTGGAGGCATCTTAGCCGGACGCCCACTTCTAGCGAGAGTAGCCACAGAACTAAATCGTCTCCATTTATAGACAGTTGATTGACATTGTGTTGGTAATTTTTCAAGCAAAAATGTTAATTTTTTGTTTCCAGCATCTAAAATATGAGGAACTGCTGCTTGCGACATGTTTTCAAAATTTTTTTACATTTTAGAATGAGAAAATAAGCAGCTAAATAAATAATGATTCTCAAATAATGATACTGTAAATCTTTATTCACATATTTACAGTTGCCTTTAATAACGTGGTGCAAACACATCACCCTAATTCTGACACATGACACACCCAAGCATGTTTGCATATTAACAGATGCAGAAGTGTTTTTCCGGCTTAACGCTACAAAGCAGACTACATGATGCACCAACCAGCTCACCTCTAACAGGAACGCCCGCACGGCTGAATCCAACACCTGGTCAGTGACACCCGCCTCGTCCAATCGTATCCTTTCCTTAACCGAGCGACTCCAGGTGGCCCGCATAGCCAGGAGGCGAGGAATCACTCGGGTCTCTTCCCCGCACCGCACGGAATTGTGGGCATCCAGCATGACGCGCATGAGCGTGGTGCCGCTCCTGGGAAAGCCTCCAATGAAGATCAGCGGGGTGTCTTCAGGAAAGTGTTCGGTGAGAGACAGGCTCTGATTGGCTGAGCCCAGGTTTAGCTCCATCCACCGGTACCGATGGCTTTTTCGAGGGCACTCTATCCCGCTCATGCCCAGGTAGAGCAGGGAGGCGGAGCAGAGGAGCACGCAGCCCAGCAGCAGGCTCAACCTGGAGGACCTCATGGTTGCTGGGTATGTTTGGGAGTCAGGAGGACATAAAATAATATTTATGGGAACCTGATTTACTTCATAAATTTGAGTAAAAGTCAGTTACACCTAGCCTGAGAGTCAAGTTGATAAGGATAAGTGCAAGAAAGACAGCTGAGATGACGAGGAAGGCCTGATGGAGGCCAGGACGGTGCAGTCAGGTGTGGGCTGGGGAGACCCCGCACTCCTCTGTAGCTCCTCAGCCCTGGTGTTGGAGAGCAGAATCCATGCATGCTGCACTCCACAGCCAACCATGTCTCTTATCCATCATTCCTGCAGCACCTAAAACATCAGAAGAACATGTCATTCATCTCAGCAAGAACTGCACCGGAATCAGTTCATACTGCTTTCAACCAAATAAACACCTCTGTTTCTCGTGGGACTGTGAATCCTACCGCAGAATGAGATGTGGGTTTTTTCCCCAGGGGTGATTTTACAAGTTGCTGAATAGCAAAAAAACATAAATGAACCTTTTCTAAATTTCCAACAAAGGAGTAACTGCAAACAGTAGCTACTGCCCTGCATGAGTGAGCTATTATCAGCAAGCAGGGTGTGATGGTGGCTGCTGCGTTATTATGCCAAGAACACTTGCACACACTTTCATAGGATCTGAAATGCATCCAGTTTCTGTTCTCAAAGAAGCTATTCTGCATCTTTCCTCTGGGGAGCCACTGACTCTTAAGCCATATCAAACTTCACTGCGGCATGCAATGCAGACACACTCACACAGACCACTAATTACAACTTCCTCATGTTTTTATTCTCACTGACAGTTTCCACCACACTGAAACGCAAAGCAATCTGTTTTATGATTAAATTACTATTGACTAAGACAGAGGAAGCAACTTCCTCATCTCTCCTGCAATGTGCACGCGAGCAGATTCGTCAACGTAAGCCAGCGTCCAATTCCTCTTATTAGCACACAACAAAACAAAGTACACAAGCTTGCAAGAAGAATTGAATCAGCTGAAAATTGACTTCAATGACTCATAAGAATAACTAATGTTGAATGTATTACTTTTAAAGCCACATTGCAGCTCTAAAATCATCGAACAGCAGCTTTACCTCTTGCAGAAGCAAATTTGGAATGTGTCTCTCTTTCTCAGAGGTATTTTAGTTCCTTTCTTGTTCAGACGGGCTGTGGAAGGAGCCTCACATCTGGATGCCACGTGGGGAACCTTCCTCACTCTGTGCTGGAGTAGCCTGCCCATAAAATTCAGCCTGACCATCAAAGCAAAAATGAAAAACAGCTGGAAATGAGGACATCTCGACCTTGCTCGGATACTTACATGCTGCTTTAAGCCATGCTAAGTCCAGTGGCATCCACAAGCTTTACATGTAATTCTAATGCATTTCCATGCAGAGATTAAGCCACTTGGAGTTTGCAGAGAATTAGGCCAGAGGTTTAAGATAAGGCTTGCTGCTTCCCCCCCCCCAATAGTTTTAAAGGGACGATTCTCACATATTTTCTCACTCTACAGATGCAACTAATGATTATTTTCATTATCATTCATTCAATTAATTTGTAGGTTACTTTCTCATTTACCCATCTCAACTGGGTCGTCACAATTTCCTAAAGCCAAAGTCGATATCTTCAAATTGCTTGATCAATCAATTGATCAAGAAATTAATCCATAGATTAATTGATAATGCGAATAAGAGACTATTTTTTTGCAAGAAAGTTTTTCTAATTTAAACTCTCGAATGCTGAGGCATTGTTTCTGGAAAGAGTTGTTGCTGTTGACTTTTTAAGTATTTTTTTAATACTGTAAAAACCACAAAGATAATTCAATTCACCTCAAAAATCTCAGACAGATATATCTGAAAACATGGGGAAATAAAACCAAAACTATCAGCTTGGCTACACACCAATAGAGGGAAGTTTTTTCATAATTGTTTTTTGCAAAGATTGGCTATGGACACCTACTCTGACAAATCTAAAAACTGACCTTGAAAAGGCCAGTGCCTTCCCTGATCAGGATCGAGCCCTCAAACAAGTCCACGATAAGAAGAAAACAGTGATCACAGTCTGTCAACAGGAAAGCAGCAAACTGACACCGGGGGCCTCAGGAAACCTAAAAGTACGAGTTCAGTTTCAGCTGCTTCATCATGAGGAACTGCTGCCTTTATTGCCTTGTTGCACAAAATCAGTGGTGACTTGTGCATAGTGGTGACATTTTTGACCAGCAGTTTGTCAAGAAACCTGAAGCCCCCTTGTTGTATCTCACAGGAGGGAGCAGTGATGGTGACTTCCTGCTGAAGGGGGGGAACTCTTGAGAGGAAGAGCAACTTCCACATTTTACCTTAACTCTAGTTCAAGCATTAGTCAGGAGTCTGTCTATTGTTGCAACCGTTTCCCGTAAAGCTCTCCATTTAATGATTTTTCGTAATGTATTTTTATATGTGCTATTTTTGCTCTTTTTATTTTTACTCTTTTTATGCTGCAACGAGTCGCGTCGCCCCCCCCCCCAAGCAGTAAACTAAAATGTGAATTCAATGTCCTAAAGGTGCATGTTCATTTGCATCTGCTTGACTGCTGCACAGAGTATGTGGTGAACCAGGTGTATATTGGTGGGAATGTGATAAACAAGTCAAAGCTACAGTACCACCGCAGTCACTGGTGTGTGTTTGAGTATAAATAGGATTATTGTACAGCTGCAGAGCGCAGGCCCAGCAGCCACGCACATCTGGCCTGGCTTGGTTGTGCATATTGTTTGCAAAAATGCACCCGAGGCGGTCAGCCACCAGGTGGATGACCTGCTATCAGTCAAACACACCGTGACAGACCATCGGCCACCAGACAGCCTGTCAGTGCGTTATTTAAAATCTCCTTACCTGCTATGCACAGACTCATTTGGCTGTCTGTAGGTAGCTAACATACGTTGGAAATTTCATATCAGTTAAAAATGGTGTTCACTCACCAGCGTCTGTGAAACTGCCGAAATCCGAAGAAAAAAAACACATGAACCTTGATCCAAAAGACTGAGACGAACTGCTCCTCTATCCCCACAGAGACAACTGTTTTCTCTCATGTGGAAAATCTATCGGTGGAGGTCACAGCGGACATGTCTACGCCATTTAGTCTTTTAAAAAATACACAATTATACAACGTATCGCTGCTGGCTCTAACCGTAACTTTGCACCGTGAGAAGTACAGCCGTATCTACCGTTGAGAGAAAAAAAAAACACACTGAACACGAGCGCAGGCAGCCAGAGAAAGCTGAGCAGTGATTGGTCGATGGACGCTCTGAATTCTAGAGCACATCTGCTTGGACGATTCCTATTGGTGGAGATGTTAAAGGGCAATTCCAACCAAAAGACCCTCTTCTGTTTTTTTTTTTCTTCGCACTGGAGGATAAAATTACTTTACCTCATCGATTCGTATGCTCTCATTTAAAAGCCCACTGGGGAAATGTAATCATAGTGTGGGATTTAGTGGAGGTTAAACCTGCCTCGTTTCATTTACCCACCTTTTCATTAGAGAAACAGATTCTGGTAACTCATTTAGTAGAACATGGGTCTTCACGACAGATTGCGGCCATGGTGGAAGACCAAGTGTGACCAAATTACACCAGTAAGCTTGTCAAATTGTAATAAATAACAATACAGGAGTTTGTGAATAGGTGAGATACTCAAATAAGATTATCATATACAGACCAGTGGTCTCAAGACTTTTTGGGTTCCAAAAGATATAATCATATGAAAAGTTCTCACTTATACTTTTTTACCTGATTAAACAATAATAATAAAGCTGATAAAGCAGTTATTTTGAAATTGGCCTTTCTGCATAATGAGCACTTACTTTTGGTAGTTTTGGTACTTTAAGTTTGGGTAGTTACTTTTGATACTTCTAGTATATTTTGAAATACTCATATATATATATATACAATATATTGAAATACTGATACCTTTCGTACTTTTACCTAGGTAAGACTTTGAATGCAGGACTTTTACTAACTTTGGTATCACTACTTTTATTTAAATAAAATGTTTAAATACTTTCACCACTGGATCTTCATGACAGTTTGTGGCCTCTGTGGAGGACCAAATGTGACCAAATCACATTGGTAAATCTGTAAAATTACAATTAATAAAGCATGAAATAACCACTGAAGTTTATAAATTAGGAATGCAATACATAATCAATGAAATAAGTAGTGGTGGAATGTAACTAAGTACAATTTTGAGATACTTGTACTTTACTAGAGTACTACATTTTGGAGGCAAATCTTTACTCCACTACATTCATTTTAAAGTTTTAGTTACTAGTAACTTTGCAGATTCAGATTTATTAATATAAAATATGAATATTCCTAATAATGAAATTGATTAAGATACCAATCAGTATTTAGAGTGGTTAAAGTTAGCCCCACCACAACAGCTACAATGTTAGTGATGTTTACAGATTAATGCACAACTAACTTTAATCCAGTGATATTCATTATTCTGAAATTGGCCATTGTACAAAAGGAGTATGTTTACTTTTGCTACTTTAAGCATATTTTGGTATTAATACTGTTTTCTATTAATACTGATTTTGAATACAGAAGTTTTACTTAAAGCCCTTCTTATGGACTCCTGGTGGTTCCAAACATCTTTTTCACACCAATGTGCTCCTGGGAACACGCAAAGCTTTACAAAATGGTTTTATACTCTTGCCCTCATCTATGCCTTGACACAATTTTCTTGTGGAGGTTTACAGAAAATGCCAAGGATTTAATGGCTTTGTTTTTTTAGTGTTTGATTTCTAATAAATTTGAAAAAATTATAAAAACATGTTTTTTACATTGTCAAAAAGGGGTATTTAGTGCAGATTGATTGGCAAAAACTGCAAATTTATCCCATTTCTGATCTATAGATTAGGTCTGACAAGCAGCTACACACTGAATTTGCACAGAGAAGTCCTTCACCTGTGTTTCTCCTCTCTGTGGGGCCCTGTTAAGTAAGCAGTGATGACATTCTTATCAAATGTTGCACAATGAGGAAACTAAAATTTAGTGACTCAGTCTGCCAAAAAGTTATGAAAATGAGAACATTGAAGCTAAATCACCAAAGTTAAACTACTCATTTCAGTATTACAAAACTGCGGTTGCAATTTTCACACAAGGCCTGTATCTTGATGTTAATAGTTAGGTCACATAGAAACGTATGAATATCTGGATCAGTATGTGGGAAAAATATCTTTAGTACGTTACAGTTTATAGTCTGTGCAATTTTCAGACTGGAGAACGCTGGGCATTTACTCTGTCATATGGTTTAAGAGATGTTTCCCTCATGTGTTCACTTCCAAACTCAACCAATGGCCAGGAGTCACTTTTGGCTGGAACAGAATCATTGTCCATGACATTCACTCTCTGTATCTTGTCCTGTAAAGGTACCAAGTAAGTACAGTGAAACTTATGTAATAAAGAAACAGGAAACCTATAACAGAAAAATACGAGTCTAACCAGCACATCCTTCCTCTGCTACTTTACAACATCCCAGCAAAGAAACAACCAGCTGATCCAGGGCCTGCAGCTGAGGGGTTTGTGGGTTTATGTATCAGTGTGCATGTGCAACAGAAACCTAGCTGTGTGGAACACAATGTTTTTTTAACTAAATGAACTACAATACTTTTATGTCAGGATGTTTAACTAATTCCTACCACGAGTGATTACTACTATAAATCTAAGACAAGCTCCTAGAATAACTAAATTTACAGCAAATGGAACGACTAATAATCAAAATAGGGATGTACGCAATTAGTCGACTAAACGATTAAACATTGCTACCATCGCTAATCATTTAAACTAATTACTGATGTGTTTTTAATATACAACACAGGCAAACTAAGTAACTAACCCCAGCAGATGGCAGAAAGTGGGACACATGACACCTTGTAAAACCAAAGTGGTTTGTAGTTTGATCTAGAAAATGCAAGTAAGATTGTATGTAGGCTGTGTCACAATAAACTGCCATATAAGCACTCAACTAGAGCAACACGTAACCACAGTCGGCACAGGTACATGCAAGTAAAGAATGCTGGTGCTATAACTGCTGATGTAAGCCACACTCAGCAAACCAATATGACATTGTTTACAACGTCGCTTTGCTACCAATTAAACTGTGATCAATTAGTCTAAATTTTAATTTCAATTTAATCGACATGGACATTGGTCATTAGGATGTTCGTTACTACTGTATGGCGCAGAGAAAAGAGACACTGAAGATGTTTTCTGCAGTTTCAGATCATAGTCATAATTTAGCACCAGTACTTCACAGTCCGTCACACTGCACCACAAAAGAACCAGAAGTCCCTATTTCATATGTTAATTTTTGTGACAAACAGAGAACGTCTGCAGCCTTTTATGAAATGACAACGTGTTAACCGCTGACTGTGTCATTCAAAGTGACAAAAAGCGACATTTCAGCAGTTAATTTTCATTTTGTTACACAGGAAAAAGGGTCAGCACGTTTTGAAAAAGATAACACTTTGAACACATGAATAAGAGACAACAATGTTGGTTCTTACAGTCTCTCTTTGTGTTACACAGCCACTCTAATAATACTGTCTGACCAATGCAAGTTTAATTGCATTACTGAAATATATTACAGCTTTGGAAATCATAAATCACCATGGTAGAAACTGGTGACTAACATTAAGTCAGAAACCAAAAACATAACAGGTTAATAGCAGACTGTCTCTGCATGAACATTATCTGATGTGAAATACAAATTAGACGACTCAGATGCAAAACAAGTGACTCACTGTTCAAAAACCTGTACTTATGAAGGTGTGCGCATGTTTGATCTGAATCCAACTGTATCTACAAACATAAATGTAAATCCTAGCATGCTTGTTTTCTTCCAGTAATGAGGTCCTCTCAGCCACGGCCAGGCAGCCATTGTGCATCCTTTTTCTGTCAGCATGTTGTTCAGTTCAAGCAGTGATGCAAAACGGCTCAGGTAAAAGCAACTAGTCCACTTCTGTAACAATTTTGTTCTTCATCTGTGGGTCATTACTGGCCTGTCACTGGGTCACGACTGCTCACCGCCTTCGTCCATCTCTGCTTCTGCTGGAGCTGCGTTTTCCTGCTCAGGGTCACCGGGTAGGATGTCTGCGACTGTCTGGATGAGCTCCTCAATCTGCTCCTCCGATAAACGCTCCTCACTCTCTTCTACCATCTGAAAACAAACACAAAATTAAATACCATATTTACTAGGGCTTTAATTGATAGTTTTATAACAATAATACATCAAATAACAATGTGAAAAGTGTCACTTGTAGTGATGAACCTGCAGAGAACTATCACCTGAATCTACAGCTCTCTGTGGCTTTATGCAACTTTTTGAAGTTTCTGCTCATTGTTTAGCTCTCTGGCTCCACATCTCTCTTGTTTTGGCGAACTGTCACCACTCTCATTGTGCGTTTTTAAGTGGAAGAGCTCTAAAAACCCAAAGTACACTACCTGCTCAGCACGAAACAGCACACAGACACAGTTAGCAACTAGTTGGTGAACACAGTGGAGCATTTAGCAGCTGGAGACACAGATATTTTCCTCAGAAATTAGACAAAAACAGAGCTAAAAGTGAGTGTATACTGGACTTAGATTCACCAGGTTCTGGAGGTGTAAATAAGCAACAGTTTGGTAACAACTTTGCCATAGTAACTTAAAAGGTGATGATAGCTAAATGATGTTGTTTCAGCTTTAACTTTAACTGTTTGTTCTGATGCATTTCATTGCCTTCTGTAAAGCACTTTGGTAGCGTGACGCATGCAGTAAGATGCTATGCACATGAACTTGTCTCACCTTTCATGTGTTTAATCAATTGATCTGCAGTCGACAAAACAATCTCACCTCACCCTCCTTTAAGCAGCTGTTCTGGAGCTCTCAGTCATGTCACATAATTTTTTTTTGCAGCAGAGGGAATTTGCCACTTGTCATGGAACAGTACATGGTCAAATTTCCAACATGGACAAGAAGTTCCTCAAGGGCCAAGAAAAATTTGAAATTTTCATGACATCTGTCAAACTCCATCTGCTGATGAAAATCATGTGATATGGTGAAAAGCACTAGAACAGCTACTACATGGAGCTTGAGTTGAGACTGTTGTTTCCATTAATCATTACTCAAACATTTCGCTGTGCCAGAGAAACAAACAAACTACTACTGACAGCACAAATGTGTGGCTTCATAACTTAGATGTTGGCAAATTCAGCAGGAGGTGACCTAAAAACAGGAACCTAAACTCTGTTGAATCGATGTGTTTACCAACCCTGCCAGTCTGAGATGACTTGACAGTCTATTCATGATTCTGGTGATGTATGGCTTGAGAGTAGGAGCTGTGCATGTTAAGTTGTATCTCCATGATACAATCAGTGACACAGATTCATACATTTTAAATGTGACACTAATGAGTGACCTATTCTAATGGAATAAATGGAGCCATGCGCAGAACAGTACATGTCAAAAATGACTCTGCACTACTTTGCCTATGGAGCTGTAACTAAATAGATTTATTATATATATACAAGTCTTGTGTTATTCCATGTTTCCTAACTGTCAAACATTCCTATGAAAAAAACAGAAATCTAAGAGTTTCCTGGTTCATTTCTAGTACTTCCCTATCCTGTCCGTGGCACTCCCCAAGCACATTTCTTCACTCTGAAGACTGAAATCTTCAAAAACAGATCAAAACATATTGTTTCATTTTTGTAGTTTTTAGCAAACTTTACTCAACCAGGAGTAAATAGTACATTTGTTGGGAACTATTTTCAGCTGTGGATTAATACACATTAGGTGCTCTTATGAGTATTTCCTAAATATATGGAATAGACTCATAATAAAACTACACCGCCCATGTTCATCGTAATGAAGAAAAATGTCACCTAGTGCAACATTGCGGCTCAGTTCATTGTTGGTTTTAGACTTATTGTAGGATATGTTGACAAAAAGAAAACAAAAAGAATATCACCAGATTTATCCTTTAGGTGAGTCTTAGTATATGGCAGTTTTGCTTGTTTCTGCCACAGTAATTGTGTAAAACAATCATGGAAGTCACCAGTAGTGAATAAGAGAGATACAAACAGGTAAAGTACAACATGTAATAATAATAATTGATGACAGTAAAAAGCAAAACACTCACAAGCTGAATTTCCACTGCTGTCTGCGGCCGGTGGTTCAGTAGCTGCAGTTTCTCAGCCCTGATGACATTAGCGGGGAGAATATCATCAGTGTGTATATGTTTTACAGATGTTTTAAAAATGCTGTGTATCTTGTTCTTTGTAAATACCAAATGAAAACATGAAATCTATGCATCTGTCAGATCTTACTGACTTTGTGAGTTTGTGAGGCATCATGGTGGTGAGGAACTCTTTGACGATCTCTGGACTCTGTCTGCTGCAGGGCGTCTTCGACAGGTACTTCAGCGTCTGTGTGGAGATGCAGAGAAAACTGTAGGCATGCTTTTGTAACAGTGCAAGTGTGAAACAACAGGCGCACAGAGCGAGTTCAAGGCAGTGAAGAGAGGGAGAGGACGTGAGCCGACCTCATACATGATGGTGTTTAAGTTTTGCTGCCCGGTGCTGTGCTTGTTCTTCCCGCTGTCCTTCCTCTGTTCCTTCAGGTCTGTCAGGAGTTTGAACACCTGAGAAAAACATAGAAAGACAAATCTGAAGCGACACTCCAAGTATTTTCATCTCTCGACTGGACAGTGCAAAACACAGTGAGACAGTGAGAGCAAACACATGAACTTACCTCATAGTTACTGAGCATAGCAGAGTTAGAATTTTTCCTGAAAAGAAGAAAATACATTTTTAAGCACAAAAGCTTATTTCTTACCAATTTTGATCATTCAATCAATAGTACAAAACCCATAAATACTCAATGTTTATGTCAATACTCAGCACAGTGACAGAGAAAAAGTAAGTAGAAAAAAGTAAAACCCAAGTATTTTGTTTGTAATTTACTTAAGTTCATTTCCTGTCGATGACTAATCGATTACCTAATATTTCACCAAGCCAAATTTGAAAATTCTCTTAAATTTTACATTGAGTGTATTATTTATGTATATCACTGAAAACACAGCAGCTCAGTGTGTACCTGACCATACATACTCCTATGAAAGTAAACACACGGGGGCATCCATGCCCATTCATATTTTAAGTTTCTAGACGTTTCGATTCCAGAGAGATTTTAAAATGTGTCTAACGGCAGTTGTGTCGTTACACTCCTGTTTCCCTCAAGCTGAAGTCGAAGTTATTTTACCTTTGTAACTGCAATATTTGTCTACAGCTAAAACTAATAGTATATAGCTGTCGATAAATGAACTCGTTGTAAACACATACGATTTAAAAATCAATAAACAAATATCTTACACTTCCATTTCGCCAGGCTCTCGCTTTTAGTCGGTTCTCCAAAAGTGTCCGGGTAGAAAATGTAGTCCAAGGCAAACGTTCCGTCTGCATCAACTGGCGTCTTTTTCTTCTTCTTTTTGTTTGAGAGAAAAATGAACGAATGAATGAATGAATGAATGAATGAATGAATGAATAAATAAAATCTTTGTCTATCGCCATTATTTTATGTAGATTTGTTTGTGTCCGACCGCTTATGACCCACCTTCATTTGGTATTTTTTGAATCGCCAAAATCAGTCCAACACTCACCTGTTATGTTTGGTTAGTGCTGCCTTCTCCTTGTTTCAGGCAACTTTGGGATTTGTAAAAATGTGGAGCAGAGGAAAGACATGACATTGTGGAAGCTAAGGATGGAAAGCAGCAACCTGTCAAAATATCTCCACCCAGCGTTCAATCCGACTCACTGCAGGAAAACACAAACCAAGAACCAGGAAGAAAGAAATCATGTATTTCAAGGTGTGACAGGTGACGGTTGTTCACTGTTCCAAGAACATTTCCACGTGTCAGTACACATGGTGATGGTGTAATTAAAGGACTAGTGCCACCCCTGTCCATTTAGCTATAGGTATAATATCACATAATATCATATGCAATTACTATTGGTTTCAAGAAGAGAAAAGCAAGGATTGTTTTGAGCTTTACAAACAGAGCCAAGTAATTTATTTTGGGCATTTTTTGACAGTTGTGATTGCTTGTTTGCTTCATTTAACCTCTCATTCATAGATTTGTAATTTTATGTATAAAAGAAATGAATATATAAAAAACAGACCAAAAATCCAAACATGAAAAAATATACTTTATTGAACATCAGACAGTCATCATTATTGATTTCTTACAGAGTAATAAAATAGAAAAAAAAGACCTAATTTTAACCAGATGAGATCCCTTGAAATTCTCACTTCAAGAAATTCAAAACAGCAATCAACATACAGCATAACCAAATACAATATCCAGTATAACTCTAATATTGTTAAATGTAAAAACAAAAACAAAAATTAAATCAAAATCTTGAAGTCCAACGATACAGTACAAGTGGAAGAATTTAGATAATGATGGATTTTTGTGGCTCATAATGACAGTTTAAAAAATAAGATACCATAATCACTTTTTTTTTTTTTACATGAAAAGTACAGCATCAACAAAAACAAGCATTTAAAGTTACCAATGTCTGGCTAAAAATTACTATGAGAAAACATAGCTCCCTTTATCCAAAAAGTTATTGTAGCTATTTAAGTTTTGTATCAGATCCCTCCACCAATCCCTGCATGCTGTAGGTGTTTAACAACAAAAATATCCAGATATACCGGTATGAAAAGAGACATGAAAGCTATTGTTGCTCTCTGCTGAAACTGCTGTGACTGTATCTTCCTGTCAGTAGCTAACAGTGTCTGTTTACACGTCACTAATGTCCATCGGGACAGGTTCCTCTTTCTGAGAGAAGAAATCAAAAAACATCTTCAAACTCTCATCATTTGTGGCCTCTGTGTTTTTGACTGTATTTCTAAATGCTGGGAAGTTTCTGCTCTCAACCAGTTTCTTCACACTGCTCATCATGTCCTGTTGGTGCGGATAACTGTAAGCGAGGTAGGCCTTCAACACATCAAGCCTTCCTCTTTCCACCAGCTGGACAATGATGTGTTCAATAGTGTCAGACAAACGATAGCCAAACTCTATTACACTCTTTGTGTCACCTCTTGCATCGGGGTAGGTAAATCCCCCTGAATGCATTGCAACAACTCTACAGTACTTATCAAAGACAGGCGAGCCAGATGAGCCATGATAAAAACAAGACTGGTAAGTTAGAACCTCACTGTTACGTTGAACATACCCTGCCACTCCATCAAAGAACTGACGAGTAACTAACTGAATGTGCCCTTGATTTTCATGGTAACTCTTCTCCACAACCTGGTTACGGTTATCAGGTGGAATAATCACACATGGATCTATTTTTTTCACACCACCATAAGGATGCCCAATGATGCAAACTCCACCGCTTTGGGGAAGGAATCCAAAGTGTTTTAACAGACCATTGGGCAGTGTCTGATCAGCACTGAGCCTTAACAGAGCCCAGTCATACATGTGCTCTGACACATCGGGACAATATTCAAAGCCAGCGACCTCTTCCACCTTCACTACTCCTGACTCTTGTCCTTTCTCCATCGGGTCTAGACTTTCATAAGAGAAATGGACAGTGATCTCCCCATTAAGCTGCCTATTATCATTATAAATGTCTTTGATTACATGGCCGTTTGTGAGGACGAACTTGTCAAATAGGAGAAAGCCACTTCCGACTGGGCTCCCATTTATTCTCACATGACAAACAGAATTACTAAAATCCATCAATTTCTTCATCGTTTTAACTTCTGTGCACGTCTGAACATTCTGCCCAAACTCCACCCGCAAGAGATTCTGCACACGAGAAAGCTTAGAAACAGTTTTCCTCCCTTTCACCACACGATTAAACTGTGAAGACAAGTGATTCTGCATCACCGCTGAGTGGGGTATTTCACGTATTATTTCTTCTGGTGCTGTATTGCCATTTAGATTTGGTTCCTGTTTAGGGAATTTGTTCTTCACTGACTCGCTTGTGGTAGTCTGCTGTGAAGGATCTTGGTTTTCATCAGATTCAGATCTCTGAGACTCATTTGGCATCATGTAAGCATCATCCAGACTGCCTGGCTGACTGTCTGGTGGATTAGATTTATTGAGCAGTATGATCCTGTAACTGTTACCATCAAGATGATCAACGAGATTGGACATTTCTGTGGTCACGTGAGTGCTTGTGTGAGAGAGTGCACAGTTCTTGTTGAATACAGTTTTCTGAAATCGACCATCTCTTTTGAGAGCTTGCTTCACCTTTTCACCTTTGTATGCATAAACAGTAATTTCCTGAACGATTGTTTTTAGTTCTAGGGTTCTCATGATTTTCATAACATTTTTACCTCCTATTGTCAGAACATGAAACATCACAAGCTCACAAGATGACGCCTTTCTACGTGGACGAACAGATCCACTGCTACCAATTTGCTTTGGCTTGTCCACCTTTTTAGTTTTAACATAACTGACAGTTAAACATTTATCTTTAATTAAGCTGCATGGACAGTGTGAACTGATAGCTCTACCATCTGCAACAACAACAAGCTCTTTGTCATTGTTCTTTTTTGCTAATTCTCTAAACTGCGAACTTCTTTTCAGCGAGTCCTCAACAGTTCCTGCTTTGTTGCAGGTAACAGATGTGGATGTCTTGCCAGTTGAGCCCCACTTAAAAGAATGTGTTGCATGTGACTCCTCTCCCTAGAAATAAAAACATTAAGTCTCATTTAATTCACTTACAGTAAAACAACTTTTATTCCATTAAAGAAATACCAAACTTGTCATGCCATCTCAAAAACAAGGCAGAAGTAAAACGAAAACACATACTCACAACATAATAAATCAAGATTTATCATGTTCTTTGAAAATTAAAGAAACCATCCAACAAAAAACAAGAAATTGTGCCACAAATGCTAAATTTAACTATTACAAAAGAAAAATAAGTCTCTGTCATCTATTTTATGTATAGTTTTCATTTGCCAATACACATATAAAATAAAACATGACAAACCTTTGCAACAAGTTGCAAATTACGAAGTTGATGGCTCTCCCCATTGTGGTCGTCTGTATTATTCTTGAGATAATTGACAGAAATATATTATGAAATGCATGCTTACAATTCTTGACATGTTACTGTTATTTTTATATTTTCTATTTGTTTCCTTGATAAGAGATACAGAGCTAGATTAAATGACCAAACTCATGTCAATAAGTAAATAATAATAATAATAATAATAAATGTTGTGGTAAAGGTTATATACATTTCTATGAAACAACTTAAGCTGACAAGATATTTCATCACAAGAGAGAAAATCAGTACCTCGACAGTTTTGTCCATTGGTCCATCAGTTTCAGTCTTCAACTTAGGTTCCATATTTAAAGTGAGGTTTCCTGATTAATTTTAATAGTCCTGATAGGAGGTGTTTACCTACAGGAAGAAAAATGTGATTAATCTCCACTAGCTTACAGTACACAAGAAATCACAATTTAGTATATTCATATCAGTATGACATTTGTTGTGATTCACAATAAAATCAACAAATGTAAGGTGCCATTTCATGCATAGCACGTATGTGCAAAAATCTTACTGTTGAATGAACACGGATATTCCTCCCAGTCTAATGATACAAAACGAAAGTTAACGATCAACTGTAAGAAAAAACGGGAACCTACAAAATAATATATATGCCTGCAAGCATAATAGCTTCGGCTATGTTGTCTTGCTGTTGATAAAGTTAAGCTAGCACCAATTTAAAGCTTTCCCTTTTCCTAACATGGCTGTCTGTAATGTCCAGTGTGGGGAAAACCGAAAGCGTACTTGTGATTAACCGCGGGAAAACACCGACTTGTGTACAATTCAGTAAACACCTTATTCTTTATTTATTGTTATTCATTTCTTGCTTACACATACTGCATAGTAACGTATAACTTACCAAAAACTCAACACAAACATTTACAGCCAGCGACGGTTGGTCCTGTTGTGCAGCGCGCGCCTTTTTTTCGTATTTTTCTTTTTCTTCCGCTTCCGCCTTTTCTTCTTCTTCTCTTTTCCGTTTTATGGCGGGTGGAAATCAGCGTTACGATGCATTACCGCCAGCCGCTATATTGGAGTGTGGAGCAGAGCCATTATCTTATGAAGTTGTTCTACATGCCTGTTTTTCACCCTCCTGTCTCCACCATGGATGTATAAAGAGAGCTACAGTTTAACACTTCATATAATACATACATGCCCTCCACCCATGATTTTTAAAGCAACTTTTTTTATGGCACAATCATACAGACAACATTTAGGTAAACATATGTGTCAAATAGGTACATTAAAAGACAACGAAAGAACAAATTAGTATATCATATTATATGTTAAAAATAAAAAGGAATATGCAAAGAGGAAAATAAATGCACAGTTTTAGCTGCTTTCAGGTGGGAAATGTCCTTATCAATCTGTTGCATGTATAGCATAATTCATATTTTTTACTACAATAAAAATTTAGATTAAATGTATGTAGTCTATGTGGTATTTGGCAGGAATATAAATTTGATAAATCATCATGTATTGTCAGGAGTTTGTGGTCTACAGCTGCCCATATGTCTGTGTCCAGGGCCCCATTATTTTAATTTGTCAATGCAAATAATTTTTAATGGCAAACAGTCAAGCCAAAACTCAAAACACAAGGACAGAAAAATGGTTTAGGTCATTTAAATCTATATGTCTACTTTGCCTCTAAGTGTGTGAAAACTTTATCTATCAATAGCAGCAGCTAAATGTAGATAAACTAAACAGTACTAGCTTGCTAGTCTGACTGCAAACCAACCAGCAATTAGCCTTTTGTTTTGCTGTTTTATCGTCACATTAAATACGAAATACTGACAAGGTCAAGGTCAAATTAATTTAACACTCCACTAATTAAAAAAAAAACTATGTGCGGCTTTTTAAACCAAAAAAAATCAAATTCCAGAATAATTTCCTAACAAAGCTAAATAATAAGACATTTTCCTAATCTGTATTTACACATTTGTATCAGCATGACATGGCCACCCCTCACTGGCTCTTGGCCACCCCGGTCAAAATGTTGTGGATACGCCGCTGTAGATGTAACGTCTTCGTGACGTGTTTTAAAGTGACACCAGCGGCTTCAGCAGAGACTGCCTCGTTCCCTTCTTGCTGCATGGCCGGTCCGTTGACATTTAACTGCACCTCAGCCAAAACATTTCTCCAGACAAAACTGCTACTGACACACACCGTCGATAAATATGGCCGGTACAGAGGTAAGGTTAACTGTTTATCTTTAGGCTCCCTGACCACCGCCATTCACGTGTTGTTGTTGTTTTAACGCCCAGCTGGACGGTAACAAAACAAACCGTCACACTGAGATCTGTTCTCCACAGTGAACTGCTCAACGCTGTATTACTTCTGCTAGATACGTTTTAGCTGATCCTAACGTAGCGATGCACGCATTTATTTTGCTCCTCTGTCTCATCAGGGAAGTAAACTTTGGGGAGGTCGTTTCGTGGGAGACACTGATCCCATCATGGAGAAGTTCAATGCATCCATCGCTTATGACCAGAGGATGTGGGATGCTGACATCCGAGGGAGCAAGGCTTATGTGAAAGCTCTGGAGACGGCAAAGCTGGTCACCAGGGATGAGATGAACCAGATTTTACACGGGATGGATCAGGTTAACTCTTATCTCTCTCTCTCTCACACACACACACACACACACACACACACACACACACACACACACACACACACACACACAGAGCTGGACTCAGATTCAGGGAAAATAGACTGAGAAAGTTCATCAGACAACCACATCACAGGTCCAAGCTGACACATTTGCAGCTTTATGATTAATGCAAGGGCATGCACTCCTGCTGGATGGCGTGTGTGTGTTTCTGTCTGCCCTTCAGTGTAGATTCAGGTTAATAGATGACAGCTGAAAATGTGCCATTGCGCAGGATTCCTCTGTACTCTGCTGAGTGTGTGGTGAACAATAGTATCATCATGTGACAGGTGTCAGCTGCAAAACAGCTGCAGTAATTCTTTCACCCACATAGTCAGGTCGGTTTTCAGGGTGCCCTCTCTAACCTGATGTTTTGCTTTGTGCAATGCAGCTGTCATTAGGTAATCAATACAACTTAAACACTGACTGTGTAGATAATGTGATAGAAAGATCAACACGTATGTTCTCCAGACGTCAGGGGATGCATATTTATCATACATAAGAACAGCTGTTTATTTACAGATCTCAGACAAACAGGTTCCTACAAACATTTTCCTGTATATATTAAGATTTATCAGTTCTACAGTTCTGAATCTCACCCTACATCTCCGAATTATTCAGTGGTTCAAATAGTGAAACAACAGGACCGCTCTTCTTAGTCATCAGGCTAGTATTAAGTGAAAATGTGCTATTTGTGTTTCCAGATTTCTGAAGAGTGGTCTAAAGGTGCTTTTGTTCTCAAAGCTGGAGATGAGGACATTCATACTGCCAATGAGCGCAGGCTAAAGGTGGGGCTCAGTTACGGTAACATTGTACTACAGTTACGCTGTACTATACTGAAGTCAGGTAAGGAAAGTGGTGCCTGTCTGATGTCTTTTTAGTGATGTTGCTGCATTCCCAGATGTCAGCAATAAGCTTTGTGAGTACAATGATGGCCAGGGCTCTGAAAACAAGACAGACCCAGTGTGTAATTAATGGGGGTTATGTAATTATCTGGAAGCATAATTCAAAGTAGATTTTAGATTCTGGTGCGTAAAAATGAAATGTATTCATGTTATCAAAGAACACGACAACCGGTGCATCAGAGCAATGCCACAGTGTCGCTCATTGATGTGTTTTCAATAGGACAACAATGGAGACATATCAGGCTTTGGCTGCACAGACAATACATGTTAGTAGATGTCAGCTTAGTCTGGCATGTTTGGATGGTCAGATAATGATACTCTAATTTATTTCAAGCCAATACTATATACACCATCCTGATGGTGTAAATAAAACCTAATGTGTATTATTCCACTGCTGAAAATAGTTCCCAACAAATGCCCTGTTTACTAGTGTTTCCTACAGTGTCCACCTGTGTTAGGCACTTTACTTAGCCTTTAAAACAAAAACTGTATTTCCACATTTCTGAATACCACAGACATGGAAGGGAAGTTGGAAAGTATTGAGAGACTGACTTACACATCGTTGCTTTCGGTCTTTTCATGGGATTTGTTTACAATAAAGAAGAAAAAGAATATACCAGCCTGATCTATTAAATGTCAACATCACAGTCAGCATCTATCTGCCAGAAACTGATCATTTTACAGTTTTTATTCTTTCAGTTTTGGGCTAAAAACACAGTGTTTTCCTTTAGACTTGAAGGCTAGGTGATGACTGCGGTCAGAGATGTCATACTCCTTTGACTTCCTGTTTTCTCAGGAGCTGATTGGTGCACCTGCAGGGAAGCTGCACACTGGTAGGAGCAGAAACGACCAGGTTTGTCACACGATCAAAACTGTAATGTATTACAATTTGGACTTGCAGCTTGTTTATTACTTCAAAGTAGGAACAAGTTAATTAAGTATTGTGAGACCTTGCTGTGTGTGTTTTGGTTCATCAGGTGGTGACTGACATGAGGCTGTGGCTGCGAGAAGCCATCTCAACCCTCACAGAAAATTCCCTGCAGCTGATATCGACCATGGTGGAGCGGGCAGCGGCGTAAGCTGAATACACACTGGCACACACAACCACACATGCTGTACCAACTTGTAACTGTGCTTTTAGTAAAGTTTCCCTGTGGTGTCTCCTGTCACTTCTCTCTGAACCTCAGGGAAATTGACGTCCTATTTCCTGGTTACACCCACATGCAAAGAGCTCAGCCAATAAGATGGAGCCACTGGATTCTAAGGTGACATTTTACAAAGCAAAACATACTGCACTTTGCATGTCTCCCACCTTTCATATTACAGGACGTGTTGTTTACATCAGTCTCGTGTTTCTCTTTCCCCACACTCGCCGCGTGAATCACCCCTCAGTCATGTGGTTGCTCTGAGAAGAGACGTGGAACGGCTTCAGGAGATCAAGAAAAGAGTTAATGTTTTACCTCTCGGCAGGTACGCTGCTACACACAATTACTGTCTGACACAGATTTTCACACACAGACATGATCGGTTAATAAGAATGCTTCATGTTGTTTTCAGTGGTGCCATTGCTGGAACACCATTTGACATCGACAGGGAGCTACTCCGGAAAGGTTAGTCCCCTTTGCTTTAAAAAAATAACCAGACTGTTTTCTTGTTTCTGTGCTTCTGAGAACTTGTGTCATAGTTATCTTTCACCTGTGTCTCGTGTATTTATGAAATATGTATTTTTAAAGAGGCTATAACTGATATTTTACAACAACAATATATCAGATGATGGCCATGTGCAGGGTACTGCAGAATTATCACCGGCATTTGCTGTTCCTCGCAACTCTAAGGAGCTTTACGGTGAGTTTCAGATCACTGTTCAGCTGTGCGGTCTGTAAGTGTACAGTTTTGGTTCACCCTCACCGCTCTTATAGGGATGTTTGGCCCTATGAGAGCAGTGAGAGTGCGTTAAATCTCTACAAGGCCGCTGTACACTACCTGCTCAGCACCGAGCAGCAGACGGACTGACTAGCTGGTGAACGTACTGGAGCATTTGGCAGCTTAAGAGACAGATATTGCCCTCAAGAGTTGGTGGAGATCACAGTGAAGACATTTTGTCATGCGGACAGAAACACAACCCCGAGTAACAGCTGGATGTGTAAATACATAACTCTCGGTAACAAGTTAACCATAACGACTTCAACAGTGATATGTCGATGCTATGTTCACAACTTGTTTCTTCTGCTCCCAAGTGGCCATGAAAAACCCAATTGTTGCAGGTTTAAAAACTACATTTCTCCTCCTCTGGATCTGCAGAGTTGGCGTTTGATGGCATCAGCCTCAACAGTATGGATGCCACGGGCCAAAGAGACTTTGTTGGTACGTAAACCACACATCAGCCAGATGTCATACATAAATGGATATGAACAATCAAACTACATTAAAATTAAATCGCCTCTGTCTGTACGCGCTTGTGTTTGCTCCGTGTGTGTTCCTTCAGTGGAGTTCTTGTTCTGGGCTTCGTTGTGTTTGACGCACCTCAGTAAGATGGCTGAGGACCTGATGCTGTACAGCACAAAAGAGTTCTCCTTCATCACACTGTCCGACGCCTACAGGTCAGTTTGTGTTTTATTGTGTTCCGCTAAATTACACTTCATCATTATCGTACAAAGCTCCATGTGTGCACTGCAGCAATTCATTAACACATAGTAAATAAAGTGTCTTAAATCAGGTCATAGCTGGTGTTACTGCTGTGAACTTTACGTTTCATTAAAGCCCGGTCATTTCTTGTGTTTACCTCCACTCGTCCATGTTTCCCATGTTCCCTCTCACCTTTGTGTGTGTGTGTGTGTGTGTGTGTGTGTGTGTGTGTGTGTGTGTGTGTGTGTGTGTGTAGCACAGGCAGCAGTCTGATGCCCCAGAAGAAGAACGCCGACAGTCTGGAGCTGATCAGGAGCAAAGCAGGTCGAGTCTTTGGCAGAGTAAGACTGAAGATAGACTTCTGTTAAATTATACACTTACCTGTTCATTGACGAGATCTCATTGCTAGAACATCAGGTGTCTCGAGAGCAGTACCACTTGTAGCTGAGTGGCTAAGACCAGCACACTCACACTTTGACCTTTGACTCACTCTTCTGTAGTCTGTATGTAGTTTTTTCATCAAACTTAAGTTTTGACTTTGTTGTATTTCAGTGTGCTGGGTTCATGATGACACTGAAGGGCTTGCCCAGCACCTACAACAAAGACCTGCAGGTACGACATTGTCACTTCATGGGAAGAACTTTTTTTTTTCCTCCGGACATTTTCTCTCTAACTTTTTTTTTGTCATGCTGTCTTTGTATTTGCCGTCCTTCTTCAGGAGGATAAAGAGGCCATGTTTGACTGCTACGATACTGTTCACGCTGTGCTGCAGGTGACAACTGGAGTCATGTCAACTCTGCAGGTCAGAGATTTAAATCACGGTTAATTATTTTTGAAAACAAAAATCACACTGCTTGGTCTCACGGATACAATGTGGTTGTTGATAACGTTCACATTTTAAACCAGAAACCTACTGTCTCTTAATCTGTTTTCAGAGAGTACACAATATAGAAAGCTTGCACAAAGGAAGGCAGTACATTCAATATGTGCTGCTTTCCCAGATCAACCCCTCCACACCTGAACACACACCTAAAGTAAACTATGTCCATCTGCACTATCTTGTATGGGCATTTTTTTAAACAAACTTTAAAAGACGAGAAAGTTTTAATTGGTTAAACTGATGTTGATTCAGTTACAATGTCAGGCTACACTGTTGTAGACTCCCCAGCCTTTGAAAAGACAAACCGACAATGATTTTGTTTCAGATCAACCAGAGAGTGATGGAAGCGGCGCTCAGTCCTGACATGTTGGCCACTGATCTGGCCTACTACCTTGTGAGGAAGGGGGTGAGTAGTTCATGCTGTAGATGATATGACCATCCAAACCGTGTGCAAATTGTTTTGTTTTTTTTCTGGAAATAATTACAAAGAAAATCACTTCAGAAATATAATCAGCAGATTTCCAGCAAATCTGAATATTGTTAAGAGGCTGTAAGATGAGTTTATCAGTGGCAGCAGCTCATATGTAACTCTGGTAAATCCTCATCAAATGTTGAAGATGACCTTTTCCACTGAATATTAATTAATCTTGATTGTTAAGTAAAGTGAAGCGGATTGTTATAATTTAGAATAACCTCAAAACTGACCCATCTCTGAATAATATCAGCTCTGTATCTTCCATTGTCACCTTTAAACATTCAACATGTTTTACCCTCCCCACACAGTGAATATACAGCGATAGGAGAGAAAACAGATGGGTGGAAAAGTAATTTCCACGTGGCACAGGTGTGATCATGAAAATAGCTAAAACTATTTTTGTGGTTTTTGTGTGTAACCCTGTGTTGTTCTGTGTTACAGATGCCATTCAGAGAGGCCCATGGTGCCTCTGGTCAGGCTGTGTTCATGGCTGAATCCAAAAATATCGCCCTGAATCAACTCACTGCGGAAGACCTGAGTGCTGTTAGGTGACTGTCTCTCTGTTACACACACAACCACAACCTAAAACCCTGCAAACGTTCTTTGAGCAGGATTAGTTTTAGTTTCTACGCACAGTATTTTCCCCCTCCAGCCATTTTTGTCACATCGATTTTCTCCAATTTTTCTCTCTCCTCCTCTGCGTCCTCGTCCCTGTACCTGCCCCGTCATTTAGCCCTCTGTTTGGAAGTGATGTATCCTCGGTGTGGGACTACAGGAGCAGTGTGGAGCAGTACAGCGCCCCTGGAGGAACAGCCAAGAGTAGCGTCACCGCACAGGTGGAACACCTGAGGGACTGGCTTAAGAAACAGGCGCAGTGACCTCGACCCAGTTTCACCTTAAAACATTTGAATCAAGTTTACTGCCACAATTCAGATATTAGATCAGTATGAAATGTCAGACTTAGGTCAAAATGACATATTAATAGCTTGGAAACCATGTTGCCTTTAAAACATTCTCCTCTCTTCTTTGTACTTTCATATACAACATGTTACATGGACGAAGTTACATCTGTTACAAAAGACCTGACCAGTGTAAAGTAGGTGACAGAAATAAATAAACGGTGGTCAAACTGTGTTTTTGAAGCTTGATCCATCATGACTTCCATCAGGTATTGTTTTGTGTTCAACCCACACAGACACAGGATGGCGCTGTTTAATGCCACAGAAAAGCTCAAAACATTATGCGTCTGCTCCAGAGTTACAGCTGTAACAGTCAAAATGTGTGGTGTTCTAGTTGTGTAATTCATTTAATGACACTATCATTGTCAATCAAGAGTTAGTTAATTTGACGGGCTCACATACTTTACTAAAACAAAAAGGCAAGACAAGGCAAATTTATTTCTATAGACAATTTTGGAGGAAAGTTTGAGGCAAATGTGCAGGCTTTGTTAGGACATCTGTACAGAAACCTTCTGTAATCAGGCTCAACAAACAGAAACAATCAGAGATCAGTTTCTGATTTGCTAACATGAAATCAATGATTGGTGTCATCCCTGATAAGCTCAGTCAGTGCTTTCCCAACGTGAAGTTAATTAAGGCTCATTTGCAATCCTACAAGGGTTCAGATAGATTCACTGGGTTGTACTGTCCATTTATTGGTTTTTATAGGAAATTTCTCCCCAGTTTTAATCTCATGAATGTTGATTATATACAAAGCAATGCATGAAGCACTTAAAGAGAGGAAGAGGTTGTTTCTCTGGCAGAGCATCACAGGTATTTATGTACATTCAGAACATAAATCATACAATGTACTGTACAAACAAGTGTACAATTGATTTAGGAAAAATCGTATCGTCTAATCTTTCTTCTACGTTAAATCATCCGAACATTACAGGGAACAATATACATGACAAGTTAGGAGGAAATAGCAGAATAACAGTTAATGTGTAAGGAAAGTCCCTAAGCTTATACGCAGCCATAAGAAAGAAAAAAATCCTATTGTGAACTCCTAATTCTACATTTCTATCCATCACTCCTGTGTCTTATTGAAAAGGTTAAAGATTAAAGTTGTAAAGTAATGTAAAGAATAAAAAATATTGACCCTTAAAGATGCCAAAAAATAAGGTGTGAGGCTGTTGAGGTAAAGCTTCCTAGCTCTTGCATGCTGCAGGATGTTAACCTGAACCCAAACATAATGAACAGTTGGTTGTTTTACTAGCACACAGGTAAAAAGTTGCCTTTGCACATATAGTAGCTTTTGCCACTTAAATCAGGTGTTTTCGTGTGTCGAGTCAGTGCATCAAACCCGTTGTACCGAGCACAGCTGAGAAAACGCCGAACCACAAGTGGATCACACTCGTCAGAGCTGCACTGGCCTTGGAGCGGTACACGACTCTGCCATCCAGAGGCTGCGTGGGTCTGAAGATGTCGATCATGGGCTGTCCAGTCCAGAACTGACACTGCTTAACTATTGCATCCAGCTGGAGAGGAGAGACACAAAGGAGGAGCAGAGGGGAAGTTTGTCACATTCCAGTGTTGAACTTCCATCTCTTAAAAATTGGAATTCGTTACAAGAGACTCTTTAATTGCCAAAAATCTAATCATGGTAGTTTTATTTTTGCACAGGGATAAAACATCTCTTTACAACACATTAATGTCATGCTCAAGTTGTATCACTGAATACATAATCTAAAGGTCTTTGAAAGCCTTCATTATGTCTACAATCTATGTCCAAAGTCAACTTTAAGGTTCACAGATTTGTTGAGGAAACGTTTGCTGACCCAGAGCTTTTAATCTTTAGCTGTTTTCCAGTTCCATACTGGATACTAGTTCTGTACAGTATGGACTACATACTATTCTACATACTATTCTACATATTATTCTACATACTATTCTACATACTATTCGAAGTATATTTTCATTAGATGATGATTTATTTTTGTTTTCCAAGATATTTTTGGACCTCCATCCACCGTTGAGCCGGTATTAAAAAAGATCTGCCTTATTTTGTTAGCATAGCGTCTGGTCTGAGTATACTGTATGTAGTCAGTCAGTAGGATTAGTGTGTAGTATGGAGATGGGCCACGCCGTATAGTTTGTGATACTTCCTCACCTGTCGGCTGCTGATGGCCAGGGTCCTGTGAAACACCGTCCAGGCAACTGCCTGTTCACATCCTGGGGTTGTCATGGAGCCCACATAGCGGTAGTAACTGTGGAGGTCCTTTGAAGATGGGATAATGTCACTGAGTCGAAAGTTTGGGATCACTGTGCTGCTGCCTTAACACAGAAAGACGAGAGGAGTGTGAGGAAGTAAAGTTTGGTAAAACTTAAAAAAGAAAGATCACATTCAAAGTCTCAGGCTTAGGTCCCTTATAATATAAAAAAAGGTTCTTCACGTGATATTTTTATATTTCACACATTTAAGTCACCAAGCTCATACCATTGTTTTGTACTCGGCCCAAAGCAGCTATTACTGTGTCCAAAGGAGGATGATCCTCTGTTGATTCCTGTGAGGACGCCATCAACATTATGACACAAGCATAATGACTCATTTTTAAAAATTGTTATTAAGAATGCAGAGTTATGGAGATGATTACATCCGGATGTTTTACCTCAAACAGGAAGGCCAGCAGAGCTATACCCGCCATGTCATGTTCTGCCTCTGCCAGAGAACCGTACGGCTCCTTGATGTGGACAATGTGCAGCTGTGTAGAGGAGGAGAGGGTTACACTATACTGCAGGACAGTCTGTATGACAGGGCACCGTAGTTAAAAACATTAACTGTCATCTGAGTTTAGTGCAGTGTTAAATGAATTGATAATGAGTTTAAGAACTGAATTAGCACTTTATTCTCTTTGATTAATAATCCTCTTTACTACAGCAGAATAATCAGTTGTTTTTAAATGTAATAAGACAGAAGTAATGTTAGACCAGCGGTAGGCAAAATATTTGGTCTGATGAAAGCAGAAGTTTTCATAGTTTACATCAAAACTTTTTCATACTTTTACATGACTTATTAATCATATCTCTGCTCTCGAGGCTCAACACAGAACACATATTTGCGGATATGAATAATTTGTTTTGCCAGTGAGTTTTAATTGAAGCTTCTGTGAATCTGTTAGCTCCATATAAATGATTTAAAGAAACATATTGAAGACACGGTAGTCTATTTTCTGACTTTGATGATGACCCAAAGCAACAAATCATATGCAGTCTCCTGAATGATGTACCTCCATGGGGAATCTCTCTCCATCGATGGTGTGCTCGGATCCTGGTCTCCCATTCCCTCCCCAGTGGAAGTGAAACTGGGCGGCTCTGTAGTGACCGGGCAGAGCTCCTCCAGTCAGTCGGACCGACTGTGGTAAGTGAAAGTGAGCTGCAGGGAAGAGAGACTCTCTCTTAACACAGAACAGGAACCTTTTGACAACCTCAGTTACTCGACCTGTGTTTCCACCAGAGGAACCAGTGCGTTAATGTTTTCTGCAGCATTATTATACACCCAGCAACCGGAAAGACGTTGGTTTGATTGTGGTTTGTGGCCGACAATTATCAGGATGGAGCAGCTAAGAGATTTTACAACCAATGGACCAATGGCGAAGTCCAGGATTTGTCTACTAGACTAATTTGCTGAATCTTCCCAGGGCTTTGGCCGACTGTGGAAACACAAATCGCAATGCGCTGGAGGATCTTTTACCCCTGGGAAAGTTCCTGGAACTTTTGGTGGAAAAGCACCTTTAGAGAAAATGAACAAACCAGTGGTGTTTAAGAAAAAAATGATTCTGTAGGAGAAGAGAACAGGTTTGTCTGTTAGGCTGGATAAAGCAGGCTCTTTGTTACCAGAGTGTCCTTTGTTTTCCACTGTAATGTTGATTGTGTCGGTGTGACCAATGAAGTTGAAGGGAGGCAGGGCGCTGTTGACGTGCACTTTACTGGTGACAATGTTAATCGGTGACTGGCGTAATCCTCCACAGCTGGGAAACTGAGCTGCCCAGTGGCTGGGATCTGAACAACAAAAAACAGCAGCATCAATAACACCATCACATGTCAGGCCTCGCTGACTGAACCGTCTCAGCGGGTAGTTTGGGTTAAAATAAGAACTTCGTTGTTGTGATTACAACCTGAGGTTAAGGTTGTGGTGCGGGTCATGGATAAAAGAAACAATCACTATCGGCTTCAAACAGAAAATGATGTGTATTGTCGACCCATCTATCCACCCTGACCTGCTCCTAACACATCATCATCTGACTTCCTCCTTTGCTCCCGTCATAATTACCACGGCCACTAGAGGTGACATGACAATAAAACAGAACTATGGGTCGTAACAAGCTGCTTTCACACACGACCTCTAAGGGCGTTTTTGACAGGACAGTGTCTTTTGAAGGATTTGTATGTGGTCTTACCTCTGCACGTGTCATCACAGGAGTACTGGCTCTGGTAACACCACTGAGCTGCAGAGAAAGTATGACACTCAGTTCAGACACAGACATACAGTATATTCTTCTGCAGGACAGTTGTCCTGTGGGTCAAACAGGCTGACTTTCTGCAGTTAATAAATGAGTATTAATTGCCCTCACATTCACGCTCTATCAGCCAGCGGGCTTTTTTTTCTCAGTCAGCAGTTTTACTGGCTGATCTGCTAATGTGTTTGTGCTCGGCAGCTGAACTTTGAGAAGTCAGAGCGGGCAAAACACTTTCTCTCTCTCACACACACACATAATCCAAGATAATTATTAATTCTCACATTACCAATCCCGTCCTTCAGTTGTCTTTTTGTGCTCAGTTAAATATAAATGATCTGATAGCAGTTAAATAAACAAATTATGGCAAGATTATCACCCTTGACAAATTAATGATGTATTACGGTTGACGGGACACACTCAGTGACCTGACCTGCTGTTGGACACAGTGAGGGTGCTGAGCTTAATGCACTTAAACTGGAGGTTACACAAACACTGAGAATGATAATGGGACAAAGCGTTTTCCCAAAGGACCGCTTTGAACTTGAAAAAAAAGCGACTGAACATTTACATATTCAGCAAACTGCTGCCTATAGACTCAGCTGCAGCGAGAACAGGCTAAATGTACAAAAAATGTATTGACATGGTTTTTAATGAGGAGTTTCTGAACACAATGCACTAAATCGCACGTTCAGGTTCAGTGGAGAAAAAGTGAAACGATAAGTAAATATTTCAGACAGCCTGTTTCCAGTTGTTTCTGTCCTGTCTTTCACATCTGGCCACATCACACCCGCTGTCAAATTCTCCCTCGTCAGACACCCAAGATAAAAACACTTTGTGTGACAAATTGAGGCTTGGCATGACAGGAGTGACGTCATCACAGGTCATGACCTCTGAGTTTGACCTGGTCATGAGATTTTGTAACAGTTGTTTAGCAAATTTTCCAATTGGAAAAAAAAAATAACCTCACTTTCATCGAGAAGAGACGATAATCAATAATCTCAGACGTGTTTGGTAACTCTCCTAAATTGAAGCTGCATTACTTAGTTGGATATTGATTTTTTTTTTTCTTCTCACATTCACACATCTGCATTTTCTGCTTTCTTTTGAGCAAACACCAGGTAACCAAGCAACTGTGTCATTTTTACCTGTGATTTCACAGTAATTATAGAGTCAAATGTCTCATATCTCTTCACTGTGCGCTCAGAATCAAAGCCGAATGTGGTTGAGATTTGTATCGATGAAGTCGGCACCGGTGTCATTAGAATGGAAGAAATCGGTTTAAAATCAATGTTTGTGATTACTACACACTCGGACACAAAGGGACTTCCAGGTGTCTGTGCAGGTCTGTACTGAATGACGCGCGCGCTCCAAACATTCACGTTCACCTTTGAACTGGCATGAGACACACTATGTCCGTTTCCTCTACAATCCTCAAAACACACACACTTAAAATATTTAACACACTCTCACACACACACACACACACACTGTGGGCTACAGGTGGTTCCAGTATTGATTTCTTCATTAGCCAGGTGAAGCACTTTAACACTTTTCTCCAATTTAATTTGCAAATTCCCGATATGAATCTCATATTTGCATTACTCATAGTTCCTCACTCTGGTGTCATGGTCACATCTGTGTCGCTATTTTTACACTTCCTTGTACTGCTTTTGCTCACCTGGAAATACAGAAACACAAGCACATCAACGCAACGTGGCTGCACCTGTTCACTGCAGCGGGTCTCTGAATGACGCGTGTGCCCTCGCGCGTCTCACCCAAAGGACCCCCCCCCCAAGCTGCCCCAAAATGCCTGTGTGAGTTTTTCTCATTGTAACCATATATTAACCTACTAGAATATTAAAGTTCCTATTGCACATGAACATTTCGATCATAAGCAAACAAACAAGAGAATAACCCAAAACAATGAAAAATGATATGGGGGGTGGTCTGTTGTCCATTAATATGCCCAACATCACTGTCATTGTTTCTCACAGCTAGCTTGAAAAAAACTGAACCATCACAGTTGAACAGAAAGACCCCATATTGATTAACACTATTAAAATAGAGGCGTTGCATTCAAATGAAATCAAATTCACTTAATTTACAATGTACTTCAAGAAGGTCAAGTAAATTATCTTTTATTGATTCACATTATAATATCTACACCTCACAATAAGTTGTAGATAAAGAGACACAGACTGATTTTTAATCTTGCAGACAAGTCTGTGGTGCAGAAGTGGTTGTGATTACACTGATTGCATTCAGTGTAAAGTGGATGTCTGGCTCAGGAAACCTTTATTCAGCTCCTTAACTGCCTCTATGCTACTGCCCTGAACATGTCCGTCCAACAGGTGCTGGTGAAGTCATTTAGTCTTGTGCTGTGGTTGTGTATTGTATTGCTGATGTGAATGAAACTCCAGTGTCTGACTCCGCGGTGGGAATGAAAGGCGCTATAGAGAACCATTTAGCTAATATAGGAGCGCAGATTAACCCCGCTGCCTCCCACAATGCCATTCTTTGAAAGGGGCCAACAGTTCTCACCAACTGAGAACAATGCACAGGTGGAGGTTGGCTTTACTCCACCTGGCTCATACACCTGTGCCAAACCGAGCGGTACAGAAAAGGCAAACCTAAGACATGTCACTGTAAATCCACCAGATTTACTCTGTTTTCTTTTCATTCCTTTCTCCTCTTCCTTGCTATTTTCTAATGAGCCAGCATCTTAGAGAAATCCGTCGCTAAAATAAGTGGCTCCCAATTTTTTTTTAGCTTTTAATGCATCACTGTGCATTTTGAAAGAAAAAACATTCTTCCCCTTACAAGCAATAAGAAGCAGTGAAAACACTGTAAACCCACTCAGGAGTTTTCCTGCTACAGCTGTACTTGGTGTGATGTGACCAGTAGCTCATTATGACTTATACAAGCTAATGTTAGCAAAGTTATTAGTATTTCTGTGTAACTGTCATAAGTGGGTCGGGTTGCTAACTTCTTGACTCGTTGCTACTTCTGCCACTGTGAGGCATCCACTTATCCTCTTATTGTGAATTGTGAACAAAGTCACTTAGTATAACTTTAAAACAAAGCAATATCCACCTGAAATTAGAGCTGCAATGATCAGTAAATTAGCTGATTAGCTGATCGGCAGAAAACTACTTTGACAATCGATTAATCGTTTCAGTAATTCTTCAATTAACAGTTTCAGCTTCTCAGATGGGACAATTTGCTGCTTTTCCGTTATAGTAGTTGGACTGTCGGACAAAATGAGACAGTTCATGATGTCACTTTGAGCAGAGATGGTTTTTACTGGCATTCACAGGCATTTTTCACAGTTTTCTAATGTTTTATATTTTACCAAATAACTGATCACTTTACTGAAAAATGAATCAGCAGATTAAATGTTTAGATAATTGTTTGTAGCCCTTTGTGACGCTCCTCATCACTTGTTGCACATATTTTTCTCCTTGTTTTATTTGAATAGTCCCAAACAGGTAAAATTAGTCAGTAACTAACACAAAAAACAAGAAAGTGCATATCTTTGTGTTATATTTTTTCTGCGCTTCTCCCCTATTTATGACCTTGTTACCCCTCTCCTCCCTCGGGTTGAGAGTCACTGCCCTTGATAATGTTCTCGTGCTGCAAAGGTTTTAGAGTGTTAGAAGTCATGTTCACAAAGCATTACAGCCGTGATCTGTCTGACTGAAATGCTGCAACAATCTCTTCACTGTATTTTATGCACCTCTGCAACACAATAGAGAATCATTTTAAAAGTTAAAAAAGCTCAAAGTAGCAGAGTGTGTGTGCAAAGGTGTAAACTAAGCCAAGCATAGCTTCTGAATGCAGTTTTAATTGTCTTAGTAATGTATGTGTGTGTGTGTGTGTGTGTGTGTGTGTCCTACCTGTGGACTGAGAGAGGAGAGAAAGTAGAATCAGGAGGTAGAGAGAAAAACCCATGATCAGGACCAGCACAGACCAGAGAAGATCCTGATAGACTAAATTTCGGCTGCTTTCACATACTGACTCTGCGCAGCATTTGAGGGTGGGAGGGAAACTGTTATAAGAGTATGACATAAGGTGTGTGTGTGTGTGTGTGTGTGTGTGTGTGTGTGTGTGTGTGTGTGTGTGGCTCTGAGCAAATACCCCCATTTGTCAGGTGTGTGAAAGAGGAAAGATGGACACCTGGTGGTAAGATAAGATACTGTGGTGTTATTGTCAGTCAGTTTCCTGTGTGTGAAACCGACATGGAAGCAGCTTCCACCTCCATCGAATTAAAAACTGTATCACAATCCCATAAATGCCAGTTCAAACCTGATTTTGGGAAAGTGACTAAATCAAACAGGGACTGCACCGATTTCTCAGAACAAATTCTGATTACAGATCCTGCGGAGTACAACTGTGTGTGAAAACAGGTGTATAAGGTCTGTTGTGGTTTCAGAGGGGGCTGCATGAACAGAATATAACAGAACAGAGTATTTTACAGGGTTTTACTGCTTCCTTTACTTCCACTGGCAGATCAGCTCAGGCTCTCTGGGACTGACACGTCGTTAACGTCATTAGATACACCTGTTCTTCTTCTGCTGACCAGTCAAACACCTGTTGTTGAGTGTAGTGAAGAAAATACAATGTACAGTGGAAATGGAGGAGACACTCACATTTGGAAGAAATGAAGAAATTGTGGACAATGACAGGTCAGCTCAGGAACATCGTACAGAGCCAAATAATAACGTATAAAGTTTTATTTTTCAGAGAAAAAAACATGTTGCTTTTTCTTTTTCTTCGAAATTTAAAATTTAGCAGCACTGTTCACAAAATTGCCTTTGTGCACAGAAGTAAATTTATGTCTTCTATATGTCTAGTCATGTATGTATAATAGTAGAAGCAATATATATATAATATACTGTAATAATGAGCAATGAAAATTTAATAATCACATCATGAGGTGATACATGTAGAAATATATTTATTTCAATATTATTCCAATATACATGTATATTTATTCAACTGTTAACTAGAAATCTCTTAAAATTTAAATGCTATAACTGGTTTAACTGGTTGTCAGTTACTTAAATATACAGGCATTTGGTGTTTTAGGAAAATGACATAAAAACGTGTTTCATATGGTTCTGTTTGGTTCTAACAGGTTGTTAGACGACTCATAACTCTGTGATCCAACACTAATGTTTCTTCTTCTTCTCTGCTGTCAGTGCACAGACAAACACTGAAACAAAACAAAACAGAAACAAACCTACACTATAGGCTGAAATGATCAAGTACCTTCATGCTGAATGTTAAGGTAACGGCTAATCCATCATTGAAATGGAACGGACTCAAAATGAACTGTAGGTAAATTCCTACACAATAAAAACTTTTCCATTATGATAAAAAAAAATTACAGGTTAGTGAAATTTTACTAACTTCATTTTTTTCTGCCCTTCAGTGAAGAATGATTGTGCTGTTAGGAAAGTATTGTTCATATCACAGTTAAGTGAAAAAACCTCGCATCATACTGTAAGTTATACAGTAGCAGTAGTAGTAGTACTTCATTTAAAATCATTGGATTGGATATTCTAACGTATGTTTACACTGTTTGTGCCCAGCTGATCTAAAAGGTTAAAATAGAACATAAGAGCCTTCGATGGAAATAAATAATTACCTTCATTAAAAAATAATGTTTCTCTCTACAGTGAGCTACGTGAAACTTCAGACGCCATTACTGAAAAGTAAGATATATTAAGGCAACAGCCGAAGTATTCCAGCAGTGCGTGCAGATGTTGAGTTGATTATACAGAAAACTCTCTGGTCCAAAGGGTCGAGGAAACAACAGATTTGTTGTCCGGAAAGCAGCAGGACGTCTTTAAAGGAGATAATTCTGAAAAAGCAACAACATATCCTCCAGTTAGAGACCTGTTAATTATTCAAGATTCAAGATTCAATACTTTATTGCTGTACAACTTAGTTGTTGGGAATTTGCCTCAGTGTGCTCATGACAGGACAACAAACAATCCCAACATAACACATCATTAGAAATAAAACACATCACCCCCAACACATAAAAACTTGACATACTGTATATCAGTGGATATAATATCTAACTGCACAATTACATTACATTATACTTTTCTTTAACCTCTCACTTCCTCTGCATTGACTCTGTTTTGAAAATGACAAGTATCTCAAAGGCATGCTGTCACATTTCTGCCATCTGGTGGCGCTGTAGAGCAGCATGTTGCCCTGTCCTGTCTGTATCCTGTGTCCTGCAGGAGCACAGAGGTGATGAGGAATGTGTGTCTGTCAGCTGTAGAGGGCGGCGCACTGAAGTCCTTGAGTATATATCTTTTACTCATTGTGACTTCAGAGTTTGATACTAGAAGTCTGTCTTCACAGTTATCTGCTGGAGACAGGACGATTAGGAGGGGAACACTGGGATTTCCATGTTTTTTTCTTGGGTTAATAAATTGGACCGTGAACTCTGAACACTTGACGTAAGATGGAAAAGTGGGTGATTACAGGAGTTTAAATCTTCCCAAGTCTTTACAACATGGAAAGAATGAACACACAAGTCAGAAATGTTGCTTGAAGATGGTCGAGTTATTACTATGTGTGTCAGTGTCAATACGATTTGTTTATCTTTCAGCTTTGCTTCCCCATGACAGCAATGCTGTCTCCCTCCATAACTCACCTGTAGAACAACAGCAGCCACCACAGCCAGGACGGCTAAGAGCGCCATCCGCCCAATCCAGCCCAGGTCTACGTTGTTCAGGATGAAGAAGCGCGCCCAGCCCAGTTTCTTGGGTGTGTGAGGCGGATACCGCATGCTGTTCACCCCCTCCATATTCAGCTTTTTGATGAGACAACTCCGCTGGTGGCTCAGCTGGTCAAAGCTGAACTTCCCGTGGTAGCAACCCATACCACTGTTTCCTGTACATGAAAGATAGAAGATGGTTTGACTATGTGAACAAATATTAGTCTCCAGTTTGACGGCAATAAATAGTTTTTTTTTTGAGTGTAAATTAAATTGAGTAAAATTAATTAACTTACATTAAACAATTAAATATGTTGAATTAAATTAAACATACTTAAATTAATTAAATTAAGTTATGTATAATAAATTATATTCAAATCAAATCATCAAATTAATTGAATTTAATTCACAAAACTGAATTCAATTTAATGGATTAAACAGAAAAAATAAAAATAAAATTTATTAACAATAATTAACAAAATAAATAATTAATGAATTGAAATTGAGTTAAATCAATCAAATAACATTAAGTCAAATATTGAATTGAAGTTGAAGTTAAGTTTAGTTAATATAAATAAATTAATCTATATGAATTAAATTAAACAATGAAATATTTATTTACTTGATTTACACAAATAAACAAAAGTAAATCTCAAAACCTTAAAGTTAAATTGAGTCAAGCTAAACTAATTGATTTCGCTTAACTCAAAGAGACCTTGACCTTTGACCTTTGGCCACCAAAATTTAATCAGCTCATCCTCGAGTCCAAGTGAACGTTTCTGCCAAATTTGAAGAAATTCCCCTCAAAACTCGTTACTGAGATATCACGCTCAGGAGAAGACGGACAGACAGAACAACCCAAAAACATGATGCGTCCAGCCCTGGCTGTCACCGGCACAGAGGCATAAAAAGGAGCTGGAGAAACGACGGTGAATCCTTAGAAAGTTACAGAAGTTACTGAATCGGTTGGACACAGACCCTCCTTATCCAACGCTGGAATGCAGCCATCCCACAAGAATTCGGTATAAGCCGCCTTAATACCCTTCTGGCATGGCCTACGTGCCTCCTTCGCTTGGTCAAGTAAGACGTGCCCGTTTACTCATTTTACCCTCCTGAATTCACTGAACGTGTGAATAAGCAAAAAAGAGAACGAGAGACCTCATTCTTATAGAGTGAACTCACCCACTCCTCCAAAAGGCAGAGAGCTGACAGAATAGTGGACAAGACAGTCGTTGGCCAGCAGTCCTCCACTGGAGGTCTCATCTACCATTCTCTTGATCACCTTCACAGAAAGGAGGGAAAAAATCATGTTGTACCCATGAGTCTGAATCTATATACACAATATACATAATGTGTGTGCCATGTCTTTTGATAGATACCTTGTCATTAGGTGTGAAGACGTAGAGGGCCAGAGGTTTCTCTCCCTTATTGATAAACTTGATCGCTTCGTCCAGGCCGCTGACCGACAGGATGGGGAGCAGAGGTCCAAATATCTCCTCCTGCATCACCTTGGCCTCTGGCTTCACGTCACGCAGAACTGTGGGGGCTAAACACAACAATGAAACACTATTATTTCTGTTCTTCATCACTTGATATGTGTAGATAAGGGAAACGGAGTCACATACTCAGGCAGAAAGGTCCTGATTGATCTTCATGTCAGAGGTATTACCTATGTAGCAGTCTGACTCGTCATTGTCTCCTCCTACAGCGATGGTGCTGTCGTCCAACATGGTCATTATCCTCTTGAAGTGGCGCTGGTTGATGATGCGTCCATAGTCAGGGCAGGTTTTTGGGTTGTCTGTGTAGAATTCCTGTCAGAGGAAACAATATTGAGTTAACTGAAGAAGCAGCCCCTGAAACGAATGATTGTTTTGGTTCATTTAGGTTTTAACATTCAGTTTTAAAACAGATCTGTTGACTTTCTTTGCTGCTCTTGAATCTTTTGGACAGAATCACCTGTTTTTGAAGTTTACATTTGAGATAAACAGCTCGTAACTTTTCCTTAGTGCCAAGAGGTGTGTTTTCAGGTCTTCAGTACCTTAATAGATTTCTTGACCTCTTCGATGACCTGGTCCTGGATGCTGGGCTCGCAAAGGATGTAGTCTGGGGCGATGCAGGTCTGACCACAGTTAGTGTATTTTCCCCAGGCGACACGTCTATACAGGAGAGGAAGAGTTAACGGGAGAGTGTGAGGAAGGAACAGCTACAGTGTGAGAGAGACTGGATGGAAAATAAAAATGTTATTTAAATAAAAATACGATGAAGAGAAACAT